GTGTTCAAACACCGACAACTAATTTTTATCCTGTTCCCGTATTGGCCAAGTTTCTGTACCGTAAAGCAGCACTGGCCGAAATGCTGCGGCATACACTCGATGATTCACAGACAGCCGGTTTTCGCGACGGCACCACAATTGTCTCAATTTGGCTAATGCCAATCGAGCCTTCTGTACGTATGCCGACCGACACTTCATCTATGACGCGTTCACCGGGTGAGATGTAACTGCCCAGATGGCAAAATTTGTCTACTTCCTTTACTACTTCCCCAGTGAAGGTGAGGCTGAGGGCTTGGTCAACTCAATCTTGTAGTAACATTTTACACTTTGAAGATGCAAAACGCATACCAAACATAGATACGCGGGCTTTCGAGCTATCCAGAAAAGATTGCAACATACCTGGATCTTCACTTGGTAGTACAATGTCGTCTGCATACTCCAGATAAGACAGTCTACTATCTGTGAGTAAATCGGTGTTGCTCTCTGTGCACAAGGGTGGTTTGAAGAATGACATCTATGACAAAGTTAAATAGAAACGGAAAGAAGGCCACAGTGGCCAACATGATGCTCTGCTCAGAACTAGAGAAATCGATCACCGTTGTCCGTTCTCTGGAAGGACAGAGTATATCGACCTAAACGGGCTTCCGATGCTCTGATTATTCTAACTTGAAATCAACTACCAACACATTTCTAGCTCAAATGAAGTCTAGCAATCTCATAAAAGTAGTCCGTTTTGCATCAGGAATGTGGATGGTCGGTGCATGTGCAGAAATGATGAACGAGCACCTTTTGAACACAAATCGACCCCTGGAGCAGTATCGCATATAAATGACTGTTGACGGATAGAACCGATAAGTGAGGCTTCGGTTTCATTGTTCAGTACATTAAGTAGTCCGTGCTGACCAACTGGACGGGACTCGTTTTCGAGTGATGGGCGGAAGAATTAATTTGAGAACAAACTACTAAGTGGCCTATGCTACTAAGATCCTGAATACACGTCTCCGATAAGCAACGGAAACCAGCTTCTAGGGAGTTTATTCATCGCGTCTGCACACCTGCATGAGCCCTCACGTTAAAAGCCCTCATACGCAGAGGTTGAAGAAATTTTTATGTACCATGATAAGGTCTGCTGGTTTGGAATGAGTTGTTGTAGCTCGGTGGGTCACAGTGGTGCACAAATCATCACACCATGATAAGGTGCAGTATCTTCGTGACGGTAAAATGTTATTAAAGGAATGAGGGCTAATTCTAGTCTAAATCCCATTTTGACTTGGAAGACACCAGAGAGTGAATAAATTGCCACTTGAGTAACTACAGCTACATCATCCAAATTGAATGAAATGTCTTGAAGTGACCCAACGTTTCTTTTAGCTCTTGACACGAGTGACCAAGTGATTTAAGCGGTTTTCGTTAGCGTGTTTCGAATTCTCAGGTTCCGGTTTCAAACCCTGTCACTAGCACTCAACGGCCATGAGACGATTCACATAGGTTTCAAACATAAACCTCGTATCGCGCAGGAATGGAATTTGGTGGCCGACACAACATTTTCCAAGATACTCCATAGAAAACGACTGTATAGTTGAAAAAGATAAAACGAAAAGCAAACAAGCACCAGAAATTTGGAAGGACGGGTGACGAAGTTTGTGGTGAAATTTTGAGGTTTGGTGAGTTAATGTGATACGTGTGCCAATTTTTCTTATTACAAATCTAAGTGTGCGGAACAGCAGACGGGGCGAACCCCATAGTCACGATGATCTGCTGTTCAGCGATGGAAACCGGTAACAAGCCTCGGGACTTGGAGTGGCGAACCACATAAGGCCCCGCTGGGTTAGGCGTGGTATTGAACCGGATGAGAGCAAAGCTGCCAGCAGCCAAAAAAGTTTAAAAGTAATAAATTTGTTGATAAAAACGAAATAACAATAAATAAGACTTACACAATCCAGTGAACGTATTCNTCATTGATGGGAGTCTCACACTGAATCTCGTTAATTGGTTCATCCGGACAACTCATAACTAGGGTCCATTTGTACTCAACGGAAGCCGAAGTGAGATCTATTTTTGGCTCCTTCTGGTATAACAGAATGGAAAACAGAAGGAAAAGTGAATTGTTGACGCACTTCAAGCGATTGGTTTTCTGAAATCTACCATAAAAGGCAAAACGACCAGATGGATCCGGAACTTGGAAGCGTCTTGGTCCACGCAGCGTAAATAAAAGTAAGATGTTAAATTTAGTTTAGAAAATATCTAAACAAAACAATCAGCGGGATTTTCTGGTCGGAAAATGTTCAGAATGAAGAAAATATACTGTAGTTTGTTTCAATAATCAATATGATAGCACGCCGTTACACCAGCCGAACATAGTATTTATGTATCACTATTTAAGACAGTTGGCATTTCACCATTACATGTTTACATTGTCCCACGCATAAAATTCACACCACCTACTAGATCTTGTATAATGTGACAAGGTGTTGAAATTCTACACAAAAAGCAATTTTAAGTCACTTTCACCGTCCAAAATCCAAGGTTAGAAGCCTAAAACAGCCATATAACTGGGACAGCAAGCAGCCTCACTGTAACCCGGTTAAGCGTCATGTCTATTCCAACGGAGCCTTTTATGGTTCGCCACTCCAATATTTATATCCTATATTCAAAATTATAGTAACGAGACAGCGTAATGCCTTTTTGGTCAGGCTATGGCTAGCCGAAGGCTACGACTGAAAATTCCCGAGGAAAATTCATCTGTTGTTGCCTTGGCAAAATGGTGGTATTTCGCCTACTAGCGACGGAACGCAGATTCCCGGATGAAATCAATTTGCTATCAATGTACTTAGCTCTATGACAAAACTCTGCATATTTGTTTTTAAGAAAGTGCATGCATGAAGAAAGTGTGTATTGCATCAGTTGAAATATACGGAAATGTACTTTGTGGGAGGAGTTTAATGAAAAAAGAACCAGTACTGAGTCGATCCTGAAGGAACTGAGATGTTTACAGAATAAAACCACGAGGGCCGTTGAGGTTTCCGGCGAGCAAGAATTTCAACTGGAATCTAATAAAAACACAATAAAAACAGCATGAGGATGAAAAAAGGAACATGTACCCACCACAGCGTGTTCAGCAGCGATCATATTTCCCGTGTATACCGGATGAGCATCCACTTCGTGAAGATTAGAAGAGTTTAGACTGTTGGCCAGGGGTGATTCAGCATAGTGCAAGCCCAGGTTTACTTGAGGAACGAAGTAGCGATCTGGACCAAAAAGGCTTGTGAAAATATCGTAATGCTGTGCAGCAGTGAAGCGTCGGGTAGGTGCATGCGTGTCATCTTGCAACGAATGAACCGATTTAACGGGAACCACGAGAGTACGCTTTCGAGCACAAGACTCAAGCTCTGGCTTTTTAGGCTGGGATCGTTGTGGTAAAAGTGTATGGGGCTTGTAAGGGATACCGATATCCACGGACTGTTTGCCTTCACTTGACTGTTTCGTGGAGTTAATTTCTATTAAATACAACAAAAGTGGGAACACAAGTAGTCTGTACATAACACTTTTGATGGAAAATAATTTCACTCTAACCCTTAAGTGTGCAATGTATATGGAAGCTAACGTGAATTTCGTTGCTTTTAATGAGTAAATCGTTTCTAGGAAGATTGGAAGATCGATGAAAAAGAACGCTGGGACATTAATAACGGGGAACAAGAATACTTGTCACTTGATTAACTACAAATTCATCAAGAAACCCATAATATCACAATGTAATTATTTTTACAAAACCAAAGAAGAATTGTATCCAACCAAAGGTGAATAAACACACTGAGGCGACAATGCCTCTGAGAACTAAGTAGTATAATATTCTGAATATTAACCAAACAATCTAGAACTTCTTATTAAATTAAGGTTAAATCTCGAGATAGCTATTTTTGCAACCCCCCC